GGCCACAAAAAGTACTAACTCTATTGTATTGTATTTTTAAATTTGAATAATATAATTGCACATCAAGTCATGATAACCTTGGTGATATTAAAAATGTAAGATAAGTTTGCTATGATGGTAATATAACAACTTCTATTAGGTTTATTAAATATGACACTAGCTAATATTCTGGCTCATTAACACTTCACTTTTGAAAATAAGATCGTATCAGGAGTTGCCAATTTTTGTCTTGGTGGATGTAAGAGCAGCGATGAGTGAGGCTGCAGAGTAGATATGCTCTAGGTAGCGCCATCAGAGGTATTGGAGGAACAAATATTGGGATATAGGCCAAAAGCAGATAGGGAATGTTGATCCTCAAGTATTGGAGGCCCACGACGAGAACAATAATGATTGCATTTTGGCACTGGCTGGAACCAGAATTCTACTTCCAGAGCTCCTTTGCGTTCTACCTTCAGGGTAGTGACAGCAATTCGGAAGGACCACACCAATAAATTCTTCAAAAACAGGTTGGATGGTCCGTCGTTCTCCTACATTTCAGAGAATTGTATTCCTGGATATTGATAGACGAGTCGCTGTCCAGACCTTGTGAAAAACGTCTAATGAAGCGCACCATGAATGCATTAACATATTTTGCCGAAAATAGCAAGTAGCATTCATATGCTTATTTGATCAGCGTCAACAGCTATGCGAATTTGGCATCATTCCCTAAGGAGCATTCTATTCTAGTGCGCTCAAAAATTGCCCTTCTTCTGCTAATCACTACGAGTATCCATTCTGAGGTAGCAGTGGCCATCTATAGCTTATGTAAGGCAAACCGGCTGGTTACTAGTAATATGCTTTCTAGTTCATTTCGGTCAACTAGTTCAATGGATCACGTTCATTAGGCGAACTAGTTTTGGGAATTAATTCACGAGCGAGCTATTTTACGCAAGCATACACATATCATGCCGGTGAAAACGTCGCCTTTCATCCGTTTACGGGAGTTAAGCAGAGTCGAGCGCAGTTAGTAAATACTAATGGGTGGATGGATATCCGTTGGAAACATCTCGTGTTGTTGAATTTTTGGTTTTTAGTTTCCCTGTTCAGATGTATATTTTAAAGCGGGACTGTCGTTCATATAGTAGATATGCGAGATACAGACACTTCCTGCCAATCTCAAATAGTGTCTGTTTTTTGTTTTCACCAGTTAAGAATAATATTTTAATAAGAAATGTATACCTTTGGTTAGGGATGCCCCTACGGGAGAGTGTTTTTGTTTAGTATCGCAATCAAAAGCCAAACGGAAAATGTACCGAAGAACAAGAGAACAAACTCAAAACTTTTAGACGATTTTGACAATAAGTTAGGACGTCTTTACTCTGTTCGAAACCCAGTCGCAGTAGAGATTATCGAACTGGATAAAGGTTTTATAAACTGCTTTTGCCCCAGAAGTGGTGGCAGGAACGAGAAAATCCTAGGCATAAACTAGAAGCTAGAGTTCAAACAAATAATGCTCTTAGATGGGTATTTGTAGTTGATTTACACATTCACTTTAGTATGTGTATGTTGTAATTTGACCATTAGGCTCTGAATAGGTGCTATGTTGCATAAAAGTTAGATAATTTTTATTTCTCACTAAACAGTATTTTTTATTATGTTTTTAGGTAACCTTATTTTTCCGTGTTTATTTTTTCCCTTTTAAATAAGTACATTTTCTGTTCGACTAGCTCTTTCAAATAATGTAACAGTCCCAACAATTCAAGACTAAACTTCACGAAGACGCATGTAGTTCAATATTAATCCATATTTCCGTTCCCTAGCAGATACTAGCTACCAAAAGTTATTTTCGATGTTACTCGATATTCCTGAACTGAACCTCGATGGTATCCAGGCTATCAGTTATACAACCTTCAGTTTACTTGGTTGCCTATGGTAGTATCCCGTTTACTATAGGGTTTTCGTTCGTTCAATTACCAATTCGCTTGGATCGTTTGTACTAGACTATAGTGGTTAACCAGTGAACGAGTTTTTCGAGGAATGATGCACTGCTTCACTTCGTTCAGTCATAAAAATCATTCGATTGAACTAGTTCGTACGAATAAATACGCATCACCACTGATTACCAATACACAACGTAGAATTCTGAGTTTACGTATTTGATTTTATTATCAGAACTGACATTGAATTGTACTGAGATTGACTTGCATGGAGCCAAAATCACTGGTTTAAGGATATATATAGAAAGATCTGAAGGACTTCTAAGAACTGGTCAATTATATCTTTATCTTCCACCGCTTGAGCTCTGAAACCAATTAATTAAGGTTTTCACGAGCATCATTTGAAGTACCAAACGTTTTTGGGGTATTATGCCATTGTAGTCTATCTTGAACGCTTGACGTTTCGCCAACATGAACGGTTGGCATCTTGAGAAGCTATGCAATGTTGAAGTCTACGATAACACTGACATGACGCTGGCTCTAATCATAACCAGTGTACCTACTTATTTGGTACTTCAATAAAAAAATCATTATTCTAAACAGATGTCAACTAAATCTGGCTAGAATAAGATACATCAGGTAGTAAGTACCGGTGTTACGTGTCTATTTTCAACCCGGAAGACATACAGAACTACCAGCGAACAGCATCGTGCTGGTGAACGTTAGCGCAGAAATGATTTAGATTACGAATATCAGATAAACATAACTTCACAGTTTGTAACTAAAGACGTCACGACGCGTTTCCCGTACTTCCAGCGCACGCTGCACTAGGAGTACCATGACAGGCAACCAATTGCGTACAATATGAGCTGTCGTAGGTCACGGCCAAACCGAGACACCTAATAGGCCGGTTAAATTATTGTCGTTATGGAGACACTCTATGAAGAGTCAAGAATCTGGTACTTTCCCAGAGAATTGGAAAAATCAGCGCGTCCCAAAAAAAAAGGGTCTGCATAAATTGGGAGCTTCTGGAGTATTCTGAAAGTCACGGTTTGATTATCGGCAGGAAGTATGGTTTCCTAGCTGACGTCACGCTAATGTGGAGTAAACACATTCAGTCATCTGGTGAGACGCATGTCATTACCGTTAACATCACCAAAGGTTCCGATCAGCTGTGGTATGTTGACTTCTGCTTACAAACTTGCATTCTACGCCTTTCCAGACGGGCTTTGCAGAATTGGCGGCTTCTCGTCTTCGTCCCACAACATCTAAGTACGTGTTTCCTTGGGATCGGTCTTTAGGGCCGTATCGTCAGTCGTTCCTACAATTGTAGGACACCAATTATGGCCTGCTTGATTTTCATAGTTTTCTACTGCTCCCTGACAGCGCTCTACCTTGAAGCTATGTTACAAATACCTGCTTTCATCAAATTGTTCATGCTTTCGATTTATATCAACTGTTATATCAGCCTTAAATTTCCTACAATTAAAAAAAACATCGCTTCACAAGAGACAAACCTACAGAAGAAATCTAGAGGTATCCCAGCCCCTTTTACCATCTTTGGTCCAATAACATAAAATCATCATTTGTGGAATGCCCCAGAGTAAATTCTGCCACCGGTATGCAGATCCTATTACTACAGAATTGAGGACAATAAAACCTAAGCAAAATAATTTCTGGTCATGTTCGAATTGCAGATACAACACCGGCACTAATAGCATCAAAGTGAGATGAAGGAATTTGGAGGTCGCCTTATAAAATCAAAAAAAAACTTGCAGCTATGAGACGGTGGCACAAGAGGTAATTTATACTGTTCCAGAAGATCAGACATTGCCAGCTCGCGAGTAGTGTCAAAATTTTAACAGAAACAAATTGAATTGCTATTGTATGAGGGTGAATCTGAATCGATAAAACCGATTAGGTTAAAGGTTGAAAGCACTGTCCATCGCGTAACCAAGAAAGCTGGTGATTTGAAAAAGTTTGCAAATGTCGAAAAAGTTCAGAAGATAAGTAATATTAAGGGAATTCCTACAATCATCCAAACAAACTAGCGGAGCCCAACAGATGCGACTCCAGCATAATTATATTTCCATAACGTAAGAGAATAGAACACAACACAAATCACAACACTATCTAGTAGTGTGTCAGATGTGGAATATGATTTTGTTGCTCTAGTAGGCTCTGGCTTTCACCCGATATACTCTCGAAAATTTTTATAAAATAGTGTGTGTTGTTCTAAGGGCACATAGAGGTGTTGCTTTAATGCAGACAACCCGTAGTGGGGGTGTAGTGTTAGCCAGTAGACATAGTTTTAGTTACGTATCTAATAACATGGTTAATATCAATGATGCGATTCCTGCTATTGACATTGTAGGATGTAAATGTAAGTTACATAACATTATTTATCATATGAACGTTGTGTATACACCATATCATTTTATTATAACTAATTTGATTAAAAATAATAGCAATGATGCTTAATCATGCACATTCAATAAATTCTTGGATTTTACTAACCTGCAACAGCTTAATGCTTAAAATTCTACCCATAGGCTACTTGACCTAGTTATTACTGACAATGTGGTGAACGTTATGCGATATGATGGCCTGATGGTAGATGAGGAACGTTATCCGACATTAAAAACTAGCATTTAGGTAAAAAAATGCAGAACAGGTAGGTTCAGGTAACTCCACTGGTGGTTTTGATGTCATTTTTCATACAGTAACTATTATCTCCTCCATTATGATTGGACGTTTTTGGGTACGAATACAGATATGAATAATTGATTAATTATTCATTAGATTAGCATGTGCCATCTTGTCGAAATGGTCAGATTAAAAAATATATAAGCTGGTTTACGTCTGAAGTAATATATTTGATTCCTTAAGAGGGGCTTTATAAAGTATTGTATAAAAGATCTGGAGGTAACCGGCACTACTCTCAGTTTTTCAGTTCGGCGAAAGAATTAGCCTATAATGAGAATAGCATATAAAAATTATATTCGGTCCTAGTAACCTCCATTCCACAAAGTTTTTGGGTATTTGTGGTGAAAAAACGGAGCAAGCTCGTGCATAAAAAACAGTATGGGAATCGGAGATGAACAGCTAGAAGGTGGTTAAACTATAAGTGATGGGTTTGTTCAGTTTTTTCCTCACCTTATGTGCCTTGTCCTACACCTCTTAATCAGTCTGATGTAGTGAATAACACACATATTACAGTTGGGCGTTTCTCAGACCAAATAATTAAAGTACTGAAACAGCTGCCAAACAAAATGACTGTTGCTCATCATATGATCCTTCGTCCTACCCTTAAGGAAGGATTGGAGCAAACGGTCATTAGTGCGTTCGGACTTAAGGAGCCTTTGACATAATATACTGCAAATCTTAACATATTTTTGAGGGTGGCTTTGCCGTTAATTTGTAGGATTTGTCCTCAAAACTATACCTATTTGAAGTTCTATGTCCTATGTTTACTGGATTACAAATGCTGCTGGTCACGAATTATGCCCGATTTGAACGGATTCTGCACGAATATCAAAGTCACGTATTCTTCGCGCATGCAGTTTTTTTGTGCCGGACTGTTGAACCAACTGATACTTACATGGCATTGTTGTTTTTCATTTCAGGTTGGTTCAAGTTATTTTGATTACACACTGCACGTCAGGTCGCCACTAACTAGGTGCTGTAACCAAGACTGCCTATTATTGCATTTTCCGTTTTGTTACCTGGATATATCCCAAGATGTTCATTTTTTCACATCTTTTTTCGGGTCTGAAAACGCCATATTCTGCACTCTTTCAAATATTGTCTCCTGTATTGTAGGCAGCGGCGGTGGCATATTGGTAGACGCTACGATCTCCAAATCAGTCGCCGTGCGCTGCGCGGGTTCAAGTTCCGTCCAGAAATGTTTCTCTTGACTATGGATGTTGTGATTGTCCGTAGGTCTCTGACTGTCGGACGCGGAGGTACCAACCGGCGAGTCACGTAGGCGGGGCCAGAATGTGCATGTTGCATGCTCACGTGTTCCCTCGCTATAGTTCGTGTGGCGTCCCGCTTTCCTCTGTATCACCGTATAGCCCCACGGTACCCCATGTGTGTTTAGGCATTAGGCTTGCGTGGCAGCTGGAATACAAAAAAATCTCGAAACTATCAGTTTTAGTGAAAAGTTACAAAACAAATTTTTTGGTGAAACCTAACAACACCAATAAGAATAAGCAAAAAAACTAGTAGAAAAAGTATTTTTAAATCCGTTTAAAAAAATTTGTTCAAGAAATGATGAACCAGATTTGAGCCTAGCATCATGCAGATTGATTAAAAGCGACCCTAAATTAATCTTAACCTAAGAGTACCGAGAAACCCACGGTCAGAATTAAATAAGAAATAGATCGCAGTGAAATCTTATCGAATATTATATCAAAAATTATTAGAATAAATGATCTTGAAACAGAAATTGTATGTGTTCGTCGAAGAACAGTACTTTCTGAGCCCCATGCGATTGTTCGATCATTTATTTCGCCCTAATTTTTTTATACTCCACTTCAGCACAGCGGTGGTGATAGGACACAGCGACGTGAGGGTCCTATAATCGACCGATATCGTTATTGCCCAATGCTTTTATATGCATGCCACCTTGCGCACTAGACAGCGATAAGAGACCTAATGCAGGGGGTACATGGAAACATAATTCGAAAATAGGATGGTGGTAGTAGTAGTAGTGAATGGTACGCGTCCCTGAGGACTGCCTGGCTTCTGTTACCGATGCCACTATCAAACCGTACAACGGAGGACTTAAAGTATGGTAGCTCTTCAGAAAGGAACGAGGATTAAACGTATACTCCGCTTCTGTTCCTGAGGTTTCACAGTTTTTCCGCGTCGTCCTTCAAAGAGCTACACTAAATTCCCACCGAGCGGCATTAACCTAGATCTTGGGTCCAAATATAACTTCTGATTTTCACGTTAGTCTACTCTTCAAAGGCGTCCATAGTTTGAATCCTACCTACCTAAGTATTGTCATACGTGGGATCCGGATAAAGTGCTTTCATACACATATATCAAGAGTCTGCCTAGCCATTTATCGTTAGGGGACCTCTCAATAAACAAGCCTTGTTGTTAGCCTTGTCTACAGGACAACGGGTACAGACATTGACCAGTATTGAACTTAAGAATATCGTTAGAAACGAAGCAGGATTGGAAATTGCAATAACCAAGCGACTGAAAGCATCAGAAAGGTGTCGGTTGCAGCCTATCCTTTCTCTTCCATTCCATCGCGAAGTTATATAACCGCTGATTGTTTTACGGCACATTTTATCCGTCATGCATCGACATCAGCAGCATCTAGATTGACAGGGGGGTTGGAGTTATAAATCAGATGTCTTTGGAAGATATTATAATAGACCGATTAGGCATCGAAATGATTTTGCTTCATTCTTTTTGAGTTACTGGACGTCCAGGATAAATATTTAGAAATATGTACCTTTGTTTGTTCAGGTAAAATGGATCCTGACGCTAAGGATAGATATTACATTGCACTATGTGCATTTGTTAATATGCAAGGTTTTCCAGTTACCCTTAAGTCAAAGATAATGTTGATCACATTCTGGGTATTTGAATGGTTACCTTTGGTAAAATATCCTTTTTTCTGCAATTGTTGCAACTCGCTTTAAACAGCTACATCTTAACTCATTTACGAGGCAAGGCCTCATATAGTCCAGATCGAACATCACTTACAGGTAAGTTCGTTTGATCTGTGAAATTCACTTTTCTCTTAGTCGCGCGTCGTAGTCTCGCGTCGTTATCTCCTGTGGCTGTCGCTGCGTGGAACGACACCTTAAGGCTGTTTGTTTACAATACCAAATCACGACGGTCATGTTTTGTACAAAGGCATGAAATGAAAGCGAGTCCCGTCTACATCTTAGCGATGATGTCGCGCGTCATAAACTCTGATAGAAAAATGGAGGACTGTCGCTTTATTAAATTCTTTCACATTCTCTTATATGAGAATCTCGTTCTTTCGCGAGCACAATGCTTTTTTTCACTAAAAGCAAGTCGAATTCGAAAGATGAGCAGAAAGTGGAAAATGAGAAATGAAGCGTATACACACAGCCATGATCTCGCGTACTCCTATCTTTGGAATTAAATATCTTTGTAGGACTCGCAGTAGCGAGCGTATATCCTTTGATAAGAACTGGAAGATGCATACGAGCGTGCAGATGGAAAATTACTATACGATTAGAAAATAAGCCAATATACAGGGTGTTCATTTGAAAACTTCACACCACAGATTTGTCGAAAACCAACGATTAAAAGAAAAAAGCCGAGACACGTCAAAAGATTTGTCAGAAGGGACAACTTTTCAATTAAAAACTGCTTCACCTCATTTCATCCTCGGTCCCGCAAATCAGTCGATTCGTTTTCAAGAAAATTGGAAATTTCTTTATTTATCTTCTATCTAAACAAAAACACACGAAATTATCACTTTTTATTTCAATATTGTTCCAATAAGTGTTCAAAGTGTTGCCGAATCTACAATTCCTTTATAATTTATAACGGAAACCACCAACATAAACAGCAATTTGGAAGATTGGACCAACACAGATATCCTGGGCGAACTGTGTTTATTGTTGTGTCTGTTTAGTTATTTGTTGCTGACGGAAAGGAAGAATTTAATTTGCTACCAGTTCCCTTTGTGACAATCTTGGGATAGTGAAAATTAATTTATTGACTCAGATTTTACTTCCAAATGGTTTACACTCTAGCCGACAGAGTGGAGGTGATTCTAATTGCCGTTACGTTTAACGCCAGACATCCACATTGGTATGTTTTGGACCTTATTAATTTACTCAAACTGGTTGCAAATAAAAAACGTGATCATCGGAGAGTTTTGGAAGAAGCCGCTTAAGTTGAAGTTTTGGGTCATTTTGGAATAAATCCTCATTCTTCATTACGCAAAATTGTTGCTGCGACTGTTACTTCATTAGGCTCTGAACACACAGTTACTAAACTCCATAGATTTCATCCATTCAAAATGAAAATATTGCAAAGTTAACCAAAGATGATTTCGATAGAGGAGTTGAGTTTTGTGAACAAATGACTGCAGCGATTAATGATAATACCATTCAAGTAAAGAATATCTGCTTCAGTGATGAATGCACATTTTATCTAAATGGATTTGTCAACAAACATAACTGTAGATATTGGATCAATGAAAATCATCATGGTTCTGTAGAAGGGCATACCCTGTACCCCTAAAAAATTAACATATGGGCAGGTTTTTTAGGAAACAAAGTGATTGGACAATTGTTTATAAACGGAAATATACTAAGTGACATATAAATCCGAACACCCAGTTTAAATGGTTTTATTTTAATAAAATTTTGTATAAGTACTTAATGAAGCATAATAAGTAAATGATAAAAATTTCAAAATGATTGCACTGCTTTAAAGCCCTTTGACCTTTAATAATGTGCGGATGCACCCTGATGTGCTACGCATTCTCCAACGCGCCTAGGCATGCTTCTGATCAGGTGGTCAATGTCCTCCTGTGGAATCTCATTCCAGGCAACCACCAACTCCTCTCGAAGTGCTTCTAGAGTCTGAGGAGGACGTTGCAAATTGAGCAATCTCCTACCCATCATATCCCACACATGCTCAATTGGGGGTAAGTCGGGAGACCTTGGTGGCCATGGTAACAATGTGACATCATTATGTTGAAAGAAGTCTATTGTGACTCTTGCAACATCTGGTCGGGCATTATCTTGTTGGAAAGTTGGATCTGCCAGGATGTCAAGATAGGGTAAAAGATGGGGTTCTAGACCTTCGTGGATATAACGATGCGCGTTCATGTTACCTCTGATGAAGATTAAAGGTGACCTGGAACCATAAGCTATAGCACCCCAAACCATAACTCCAACAGTGTGATGAACATGTCTTTCAACAAAAAACTGTGGATTCCTCCTTTCACCACGTCGCCTTCTAACCCTGGCACGACCATCGTGCATGCCTAAACAAAATCGAGACTCTTCACTAAAGACAATACTGTTCCATTCCTGATCCCAGAGTGACCGTTGTCTGCACCACTCAAGGCGATTACGTCGGTGTTCTCGAGTTAAAGGG